CGTTCCATAATGCACTGCGTGGTTACGCCGACGGCGACGCCGCTCAAGCCGGAAACGGGCGCCTAAGAGATCCGCTCTAAATGCAGTTCCTCGGGATTGTTGCTAATAAAAATTATGCAGTCAGATTGCAACACTTTCCACGGGTGCTCGCGCTAAACTGGGTTCAGCCCCCGACCATACCTGTTTCGACGTGGACGAGCCTCGTACAGACGTGCGGTCGTTTAGCACTACTGCGTGGTATACACATTTCAAGACGCCGGGCTAGCAGTGGCACTGCAATAGGTAAATTTGTCATTTGCTGCGCAGACCCCAGACCTAATTAGGCACTAATTTTTTCTTCTTGCTTTTATGAGGCCCAGAGAAATGAAGGGGAGGCCGGGAGAGATGTTAGATGAGACTCAGTTCCCCGCGGTCCAGACATACAGTATAGCGTCAAATGCGCCAGTTCACGAGGGCCGTGGCTCGTGTGACCCTTGAAAGCAAACGGCGTCTCAGCATTGAAATGAGTGCTATGAGCGTCGAGACGTTTCGGTGCCGCTCGGTTTTTATCCGTGACGCCACGACCATAATATGCCCCGTCGTGACGTCACGAGTTGTGATCCTGGCTACTTATCGTATGTTGCAACGACAACTTCGGTGGTAAGTGTAAAGAGTCCGGTGTAAGCTAGATGTACTCGTGTTCTTCAATAGCATCCGAGCTGCAGGTCGGGCAATGCTCTTATGATGGGCGCTTCTGGCAGCGCACGTCGCCATATTTGGAAGCGGCAGAGCACTCGCTCGTACCACGTGTCTCGCGCGTTCTCACAACAATGGTTGCCGGTACTTGTAAGAAACACCTGGAGCGAACGCTCGCGCTGCAGAACCCAGGGATCCTGGGTTCAATAGCGAGTTTTAGAATAGGGGGCCCCAAAGCTTTGGGTGCCCCGAACAGCTCGGGGCATCGCAGCGGGCATGCGCAGAAATTCTGCGCATGCGCAGTGGGACGCCCCAAGCTCTTTGGGGCACCCAAAGCTGTGGGGCCCCCTATTCTAAAACTCGCTAATCTCTACACTTGCCCGGCTTTGTTTCGTTCTGAATGAGGATCGTACCGGCGTGCGGTCGTGTATCACTACTGCGGGCTGCACGTTAAAAGGGCACGTAAACGAAATGTTTGCCCTTATTTCTTTGTTTAGATGTGGTCAACGTCGTACCGGCAACCCAGAGACACTAGTTTAAATTAATTGATTCTGGGCTGCCGGCAGGAAATTCAAGAAAACTAATCTTAAAACAGAGAAACAGATATGAAAATTGCGTCTGGTGGCGGTCTGCGAAGCTCCGTTGGAATGCCGCCACGTCACGAGTTCCTTAGAAGCAGCGTCAGTTCGTGGCAGTATGGCTGGCTCGTGGAGTTACTTAGTAGTGAATGTGACTCTGCGGAGAACGCTAACGCATTTAGTGCGTTTACTGCGTTGTAAAATTGTGAAGTAATCAGTTACGAATAACGGATTACTTGTAATCCGTTACTTTTCAAGTCATTAGAGAGTTTTAGTAGATCGTTCCGATACCTCCGATAGCCCCGATAACGATACTATGCATGCACAAGGGAGGCGGTGGCGGAGTATCGGGTATCGTTATCGGAGTCATGGGAACGATCTACTAAAACTCTCTATTTTGTAATTGCCACGTTAATTTTTTTCGGAAGAATATTGTAAAGTTATTTTGTTACAAAATATTGGTAAGAGATAACAACAGTTACTCTTTACTCCTTAAAATATGAGCAGAAAACAGTAACTGGAGCAAAACGAGCAAAACATTCAGCAGTATAAAGAGAGAAAGTTCAACAATATAGAAAACATTCCGAAGGGGAGGATAGCCAAATAGAAAACACGAATTTTTGTATGACCGGTCACTAGAACCACTAGAAAAACGGGCAAGGCATGTACAAATATAGGAAAGACAAAGATCAAGTAATACCCAATTCACACGGCCGGGTAAAGGTACCTTTAGCTTAAGCTGAAGGTACCTGTAGTAAACAGCGTTCTTGATCACACGATAAATAAACGGAGCACTTTAAGTTGTTGTCGATTGCATTCCTGCTAAACCGCGAGAGGCGCACGCGATGAACAATTATTCCTCCTAATCGGTTTGACGCGCAGTTTTTGATGATTGTGTGTGACATATCACATATAAAACCTAAATATTATTTGTGTTCGCTTTTATTGTACTTTTCTTTCTCTAAGTCCAAGGGCACACCTAAATGATTCTTGCTTTAAAACGTCCGACCCGTCTGGCCACACTGGCCCTAAAAATCATCTGCGTTTACCAGTTTTCGTTGTGAGGTGGGCGACCTCTCTCTGTATAGCAGCTCCATTTTTTGAGCAAAGTTCCCACTGAAGTAGCTAAATAGTGCCCGGCAGAAACGAACCACGTCTGAGTTTCACGGTTACGCCAGCCACGCCCTCGAAAAGGTTGAACGGCGACGATAATAAAAGGTCATGGGTGGGACAGGCGGACGACTCGTCTACAACCTCGAGAAAGAGCTCGCAGTGCTCCTTCGCGTTCAGGTAGCAGACATTGTTTTCCACGTGCCGCCGCTGCTATACCTGCTAGCTAGAGTATGCGTTCCTCGTTAAAGTATTATTCCATCACATTTGAGTTCACAATCATTTCCTAATTTGCTACTTATATATAATGAATTTGTTATAATGGTATTAAACAAGATATATTTATATATCTGGGATTTTTATTTTGAGTTCGTGGGTCTGTGGCTACTCCCTGTAGCTGTAAAGGAAGCTGGGCGAGCTCCGTTCAGCACAGTACCTCCCTTAGCGAAAAGGACCTTTATGCGCCGTGTGATCACGATCTCCAGCTCCATTTACTACAGGTACCTGTGCCAAAGGTACCTTTACGCTGCCGTGTAAATAGACCTAGTGCTATATTACCCAAGCATCGAGGAGAATGCAGGGATTGGTGTTCCACGCGCCGCACGTGCTGGCCTCAGCAGTCGTGACTTTTCTAAAGCAAATGCCTAAAACAAATTGCATCTTGCACGCGCGTTCGTCAACGCTTTATTTTGGTTATTTACTTCGAATCTTTTATGCGGGCAAGGCGTGCGCGTGTGGCGCGTGAAACACCAATCCCCGCATTCTCCTTGATGGTCGATTGGGTATAAAACCCCTTCAAGCTTTAAAAGTAGCGCAAGGTGCGTCGATGCACAAGGCGCGTGCAACGTGCAGCCCTTGGGAAGATCATGGAGGCACAGCGCAGCACTGAGCTAGATTTCAGACGCCATGTTCTTCTCAAAAGTGGCGCGCGGCAAGTGTCTCGAGCATTTCCACAACAATAAATGGCGCCACTTTTCCCAGGATAGAGGGTTTTTAAAAAAGTCATGTAATGGGGGGCCCGCGCTGCGGCGAGACGGCTTAACCCACTGTACTTTTTATTTCTCCAACTGGCGAAGGTATACATAGAACGCCACCCCTTCCCCATTTCTCCGCTTAAGTTTCGTCTGTTTCGTTTGCGCTCAAATTGTGCGGTAAACTGCCGGGGCTGGTTGGTTACAGATATTGATACACGGGAACAGCGTCGAAAGGTCAGTGTGCAAAATGACGACGGCGACGTTGAAAGGATGACACACCGGTCGACGGCGGTGCCTCAGTCTAAGCCCTGGGACTCGGTTCTTCCGAGGCAGCAGCTTCTACTTTGACTGGGCTCCCCCCTTGGAGCCTGATGCTTCGACCCCAGTGGACCCCAGTGAGCAACAGCGCCATCATGTTCCTGGGGCTCCTTCATGCACCGATCAAACGGCGTGCCAGATCCCCATGGTTCGCTGCTGACCCGCCCAACCCGCCTCCACGAAATCTGGACTTCTGCGAATCAGACTGCGTTCCTCCCTAATACCAACAACCCATGTCGTTACCATCTTGCATGTGTATGCTCATCACATTATCATGTTCACTAGACGCGGCCCCGCTCCATGGTATACGGGCTGCTGCCTTTCCACGGTGCCGCGGCTCTCCAGAGCCAAAAAATAAAGACCGCCAAAAACCCTGCTTAGAGTTTTTGGCGGTCCATATGCCATAGGGCCCACTGCCCAGACAACGCAGATGGTCCTGAGGACGTCCTCAGCTGGTCAAAACGTCTTCGTTCCAACGAAGACGTCGTCAAAACGTCTGGAACTAGTCGGGACATTCTGGTCCTTTCAAATACGTCTTGAGGACGTTTTCTGGTTCCCTTATTTGGGAAGACCAAAGACGCCTTTTCCCGAATGATTTTCAACAGTACAAAATGTTTCCATGCCGGGAAGTGAAAACGAACCCAGAATGAGTACGAAAATAAGAATTGGTTAAAGAATATTTTTACTGAACATTTTAATTGCGGCCTCCGAGGCCACAGGTCTCGAAGGCCGCAATCGCCGTAACCTCGATATCAGCAGCCAGTCGCATCGGTTTTTCCCGAGCGAACAGTGTGTTTCGAGTCCTCGCCACTCAAAAGCTCTAGCGTTCACTGCCAGACTTTACTATACTTCGTTTCAGCTTCGGTCCAGACGTAGCCAAAGCTACAAGCGCGAGCTCCGGGCTTTCAGCATCCCTGCCAAGCACGCGCGCTCGTGCAGTGCAAGCACTGTTCTGGGCCACATGCTCGCGCTTGTAGCGTCGGCTGCGTCTGGACCGAAGCTGAAACGAAGTATAGCACTCTACTACCAGACTCCCTGTGAAATTATCTGTGCTACCAGATCCTCGCACTCTAAATCTGGGACCGGGCACTCTATGGCTCCGTCAACGAACTGCCAGGCTTTGTAAGTATAGAGGAGGCTGTGACACAACACAATATTTTTCATCAGGGGGTTTTAGTTCAAACACGTTCCTTCCTTCACCGCGGTCGCCTCTATCATCATCATCGATTCTGTAGCAGCACGCACGCTGGGGTACGTGCATTGGTTCGGTCACTCCTGGCCCGACCTTTTGTCCAGCGACTCTACCCTTGACCATTTTCTTGACTTCGCGGTGTCTGATCCAAGAATGAACAGCGGTCCCTTGGAAAGTGCAAGGACGACAAAATTGCTTTTCTGGGAGCCGGACGTCTCCGTCCTCATCTTCGGCAACGGAAACTTCCAGCGGCTGGCGTTGTTTTGTGCCCAACTCTCTCTGTTCATGATGGTTCTTCACGGCCTGGTGCACTTCGTGTTCACTAAAAATGTGAACCACTGGTGCAAACCGCCCGAAGAGTACGCCCACCTGTCAGTGGTCGAATGGAAGAATATCAGCGTCCCCAAAGACGCCGATGGCGTCTTGGGCAGCTGCACGCGCTTTGAGCCTCCGTTGTCCATACCATCGGAAAACAGGACGGAGGTGCCGTGCAATGGTTGGGACTATGACGTCGAGACGCCCGGGACAACGATCACCACGGAATACGATCTGGTCTGCGAGAGAAGATGGCTGGTCTCCTTGCTGTTGATGGCGTACCACGCTGGCAGCGTGATAACTCTGCCTCTGGCGGGGTTCGCGGCCGACAGGCTTGGTCGTCGGCCTGTCCTCATCATGTCCATAATGCTCCAGATGGGGTCTTCGCTGGCCAGCTGCTTCTTCCGAAGCCTTGGAATGTTCGCGATGCTACGTTGCCAAATATCGATTGCTGTCTCTGCGTTCCAGGTAGGATTGTCTAACTGTGTGTAACAAAAAAAATGTATACTTCAAATATATTTTGAATGTATATAGTACGCATTTTTAATTCCGTATTAATTGTCCACACTCACTAATAAATTTTGAATGCGTTAGAAATTAATCTGAGATATGCTTCCTAATGCATTAAACGGAGGCCTCGTACTTTGTCGGATTAGTCACAGCTTGCGCGATAAACATATCGAGGGGTGTTAAGCCGTAGTCACTGCTTATGCCCGTGTCCCACTAGAGCGACAGACAGAGACAAAAGACAGCGACAAGCCTCAAAGCCATGCCTCGTGCTCGCGATGGTACCTTTGGCAGGCGTTTAGTCGCTCGGTGCTCGTGAGGTAAGCCCGAACGATTGTAAGCCTGCCAAAGCCACTCTCGCGTGCATGATGCTCGTGTTTGAGCATAGCCTCCTTTATTTTACAAAGCCTCTCAAATCGCGAAAGACTCCGGTTTGAGGCTTGTCGTTGTCTTTCGTTCCTGTATGGCATTACACATCATACAAAAAAACAGTCTGCAAACACGAGTAACCGCTAAGTCCGTGGTTCGAATGCTGCGTGCCAAGCTGTTTCCTCCTTGAACTGTTTTCCATGCGGCATTCGCAGCACAGATCTCGCGGTGACTCCCGTTTGAACCTTTATGTATAGACTGTCTTTTGTACGTATAAGCAGGGTGACCCTGGCGTTAGAGGTATGCTGAACCAAACATTCCAGTGTCCATAATAATAAGCGTACAATCTTTCCACGAGCCAGCAACCGCCGGTGTGCGCGAGCAAACGCAGCAAAATTGACGTCATGGTTCCCGGTGAGAGTGAAATATGTGGGCTCCGGGAAAAAGCAAAATAAAGACAGGCTTTTCATCTTCACAGTGGCGTCTGGTGTAAAAGGTAGGCGATTAATTGGCCTAATAAGCACGTATATAGCTTCCACTTGTGGGGATGAAAAGCCTATTTTTATTCTCCTTTTGCCCGGATACCATACGTTTCACTGTCACCTTAAGCTAGAAAAGGGGCACGTAAGTTTTGTTACGTGTGCTCGCGCACAGTGGCGGATGCTGGCTCGTGGAAAGAACGTGCGCCACTTATTAGGGAGTATTAGCGAATCGTTTTTCAAGCCCACGGTTCCGAAATTACGATCGGTGCAGCTGGTCCGTTCCGTGAAACCGTACGTGAAATCTAGCGAATCGTGAAACTGGCGCAACCGTGTAAACGGTGATGAGGATATTCTTTGATCGATGGCGCCATCTTCTAGTAAACATGCGAAACATTCTGCGACGTGTAAATCCGTAGCGGCTCGTGTTTCTAACGTACGACTGATGTAAACAAGACGGCCGACGTAACATTTGCCGGTCGGAATCTCAAGAACTGCGAAGCTAGATAGAGTAAAAGACATCTGAACGTCTTGAACTTGAACGACTGTTCACGTTATTTGAACATTTGCCGTCGAACCAAATAAATTTGTCTGCTCGCGGTCACCACGGCAGGTAGTCTGCCCGCAGATCGCGAAAATTTACTGGCATGCGTAGTTCACACCATTCACGACCGCTTACCATTATAAGCAGTTCTCGAAATGATTTGGTTCAACCTCTCAAATGGAGCAGACTAACAGGATGGCAAATCACTTCCCGTTGTCCTAAGCCTAACGCTCGGCTGGATCGGCGAAGTCAGTCGTTAAACCGACCGCCATATATATTTTTTTTTTTTTTTTTTTTTTTTTTTTGGGGGGGGGGGGGGGGGGGGTTAGTGAACGGTTCTGGCTGCGTTCCGGTGACGAATCCAGTGGCCGGAATGGGAGAAACGAACGTGGACGTCCCGAGCGACTCGCGCGCGCATGCGCAGCGGCGTCGCGGATGGGTTCGAGGACGAACCGTTCGTGTGTAAGTGACTTGCTCAAACTCCCTATATAGACACTTCAATGTTTGGTTCGGTATCCCTTTCAGCTTTGATGGCTCGTAACGTCCTCTATACAGTCTAGCATAAGGTAAAGCATATTATAACAGCGCCAATCCCCTTAGGGTGGCCGCGGCGTAACTGTCACCTTCCCCAAAGAACAGAATAGCAGCCTGACGTTCAGCTAGTTGGTACATGATGCAAAAAGAAACGGTCAGCTAGAACTATAGGGACGAAACACAGACAGGGAGAAACAGAGGCTTAGAGCGGTGTGTATATCTCTGTTTTTCCCTGTCTGTGTTTTGTCTCTATCGTTCTACTAGCTGACCGTTTCCTTTTGCACCAAGAAAGCAGCGCTTTCTTAAGTGTCTTAACTCGGCCATTTCTCCAGGTGATCATCATCGTGATTCTCTTCGAGGTGACCTCACAATCTCACCGTATGCTGTTCGTCACGCTGGCCATCGCCGTCCCGATCGTGCTCGCACCCATCACCACCTTTGTTCTCGGCAAGCTGGTGACTCAGTGGGTGCTGATTCAAGGTCTCCTGATGCTGCCCACAGCACTCCTCGCCGTTGCACTCTACCCGATCGCAGAGTCACCGCGCTGGCTCATGGTCACCTGGAGATTCAGGGAGGCTGAGCAGGCCATCCTTTGGGCGTCTGAAATGAACGGCGTGACCGACTTCTCCGAGGTCCGTGCGGCGTTCTGCCGGATTAAGGAGAACGTGGTGTCCCAGCAGGGATTCAGCGCCGCGCCGTCTGTCTTCGACATCGCTTGCTCTAAGTCCATACGGACACGCTCTGCCATCGTCTTCTGTTTCTGGTTCGTCGAGTTCAGCTCCTACTACATTATCATCGCACCGCAAGTACGGTCGATAAGCCTCACCGTTCAAGCTGTCATCTGGTTCCTGAGCGTGCCCGTCATGGTGTTGAATTACTACGCCATGAAGAGATTGGGACGGCGCGGAACGCTCTCACTGAATTGTCTACTAGTGTCGGTTCTGGCGCTGGCACAGGGAGTACTGATATGCCTCGGCAGCCCTCGTGAGATTGGTATAGTCAATGTCGCCGCCATGTTGACACTAAATGCCCTGTTCGTGACCATGTTTGTCTACACGATCGAGGTCTACCCGACGGCACTACGTTGCATGGCCCTGTCAGCAGCGTTCATGTGGGGTAAGATCGGGCGTATGACGGCGTCGATAATCAACGATGCTTTCAAGTTTAATTCCTTAGAAAGCCAAGTTCTACCGATCGTGCTATCCGGGACCAGCTTATTTATCTTTAGTCTGCTTGTCACAGTACTGCCAGAGACGCTCCCGTTGCCACTTACGGACACCGTCCTGCCGGCCGTTTTCGAGGAAAAGTGGCAGATCAAGTCACCTCCTCAGCCAAAACCTAAGAGGAGGAAGAAGGCCAAGAAGCCAAAAGTGCCTCCTGCCGAGCTGCCGTGATACTCGGAAATATTTGAATGACGTTATTTTCACCGCGCTTTAACAATATATCTCCCAGATATCATAGCCCCAGTTCTCAAGTTTTGACGTCACCGAAAGAAGACCAACGTGGTACACAGATGGAAACAAGTGCAGCGTAAAGGCCGGTACAGACACTTGCGTTTGAGTGCGTTTGACTGCGTTGCGTCGAGTGCGGAAAGCTAGTCACCGGCACATCTGTGCTTCGTATGAAGCGTGGAATCCAATCCAAGGAGTCATCTTGGCACGCGATATAAGCAGCAGGGATGTCCTGGTTTCTCGCTGCCGCAACGCAGTCAAACGCAGTCAAACGCAACTGTCTGAACCAGGCTTAAGGGCTCGGCTGAGTCACGCGCTTGTACTGAAACCGCAGTCCCATCAGCGCGACAACCATAAAACCGGCAACCTACAAGCCTCAAGAACGCACGAGCAGCATCCACGCGACGGTACCTTTGGCAGGCTTGCGGATTGCTTGGTGCTTGTGAAGTAATCGCCAGTGACTGCAAGCCTGTAAAAGGTACCTTTGCGTGCATGCTGCACGTGTCTGTGGCTTGTCGGTGTCGTGGTTGCTTATGTTTGTCGCACTATTGGGACTCGATCCTGACTGAACACAAGTCTCAACCAAACGCGGACGCAGCGCTTGTGTTCAATATGTGACCCCGGCCTGCCTTCTATTATTTTTTTTTTTCGTAAGCGACGCCGAAAATTGAGCCATACGGCTTTGCTTTCCAAGAGGTTTTTTTTAACCTTCGTTCACTTCTATTTTGGTGATTCTGTTTTGTAAAAGTTTTGGGGAATTGTCTTGACAGTACTGCGGTAAATTTAGGCGATATCCTTGAGAGCGCCCTCTGGGAGCCCCCTTCACCTACAAAAACAGGTGTGCGTCTGCTGACCGAAATGTGTAAAGAGAACTGCTCTTCGTTGTCACGCTGGTTTAAATTAACCACTTAAATTGGAAAAACAAATAAAATGTGACTTATTGTTCGAGAGCAGTGTAAATGCACAAACAAAAAATCTTTATTTTAGAGAGATTTTTATTGACACGTTTTCGTGTTTCCACGCCAAAGTGAGATTATTAGGGAACCGATCGTTAACTGAAAACATTAGTGCTCCACAAGACACTGTGATTGGTTACGACTTCATGCATGCTGTTTTGGGAGCAGCCGAAGCTTCTTTGTTGTTTGTATGTTTAGACAGCCGGAAGTTAGTCTGTCTGAAAGAGCGACTTTGTCTCTATGCTGTAGATAAAAAAAAAATTGGCCAGTGCAGTACAACCGCTAGCCTGGGGCCTTTGACGTGCACCACGCGGTATATATTGATACGCAACCTTACGCCGGTACGATGCTTATCTAAATCGATACCGACAGGGCTGGGGATTGAACCCAGTATCTCTTGGCTCTCCACTAACTGCAAGCTTCAGTGTAGCAGCATAAGAGGGGCACAGAACGAATAACTGATTTTGGTAATAATACATGCTCGCCAAAAAAAATTAAAAACAAACGAGACCGTTGTTTTGTTTGCGAAGAGTTTTGCCTTTACCTTTACCTTGATACTTTACCTTTACCTTGATGCATCTGCAGTGCTCAAGCACGTGAGTAGAATCTAAGTCACGACTTGGTTACGAGCACTGCATCACAGAGTGCCTAGGTAAGATATAACAAGAAACCAGTTGCTAAAACAACAGAAAAGACCGCGCGGAAACAATCATGAGAATGTCCTCTACCCGTACGTAGTACGTACTTGAAGTAATACTGTTTCGAAAACTTGCACTTTATTTGAAGTACATTTTCTCGGCAGGTACTTGTACTTTAGTGATGTATTTTATTCTGGTACTTTACGAGGAAAGTAAAATTCCACATTTCAATGTACATTGCCCGAATTTAAAAAAAAGAAACAAAAATGGCGTATCGTCGCGTGAAAACCCGCTCTTTCGAGACGTCATCTGGTTATTTCTCTGAGTGAAGTAATGGCGGCTATTGGGGACCGACACAAAAAAGTGACTTATAAGTTGACTGTGTCAGATAGATCGCCAGCGAGAGTAAAACAACTACTTTGGGGCGACTTGGTTTTATACAATATTTGCTTTTATTTACGTAAAAAAACTGATGCACCTCCGAGTACCTCTGGAGCATGCATACCCGCTAAAAGAACACTATAGGTAATGAAAGATCATCATTGGGGGGGGGGGGGGGGGGGGGGTTGTGTGTGTGTTTATACAGCCTAGAACTTGGTCTGTCTCACAGGGGCGACGAGTCTCCCAGCTGTAGATGAGAAATTTAGCCAGTGCGGTACAGCCGCTAGCCTGGGGTCTTTAACGTGCATCACGCAGTGGTGATACACGACCGCACGCCGATACGGTGCTCATCCAGATCGAAACGGGCAGGGGTGGGGCTCGAACCCAGGATCCCTGGGTTCTGCAGCGCGAGCTTTCGCTCCACGTGCTCCGAGCTGGTGTGCGCTAGACCACTCGGCCACCGATCCTCTTTTTTTTTTTTTTTCTTTATTGCATGAAAAAAATACGACAAAACCAAAGTGCCTATTTAACGTTCAATTTGTGCACTGTTCACTCATACTTCAAAACTCTTTGATGTCTCGCAGGTTAGTAAACAATGGTAGCCAGTCGGGTGCGTCTGACAGGGTATCATACACACTTTTGACTAGGGATGTCGCGAACCACCCTAGGTTCGATTTCGAAAGGTTTCGATATTTGCGAAGCGAACTAAGGTTCGATTTCGAAAATTTTCGATATTTTCGTACCGACCGAGGTTCGATTTCGAAATATTCACAACTTTTGACCACAACGGAGTTTCGAATTCGAAAATTTCGAAGCTTTCACGGTTTCCAAAATTTCGAATTCGAATATTTCGAATATTTTTTTACTTCAGGTTCGATAAATTCGAAGATCTCGAAATTCTTTGTAAAAAAAATTCGAAAACTTCGAACGCTTCGAATTTTTATAGACATGAAGTTCGAACAATTTGAAGATTTCGATTTTCTTTTTGCATAAAGTTCGAAAAGTTCGAAGGATTCGATTCTCTTTTAACGCTAAATAAAATTTAAAAAAAATAAAAAAACTTCGAAGATTTTGAATTTCTTTGTAATCCAAGTTTTCAAAGTTCGAAATCCGATTTTCAAGTTTTTCCACAGTTTCAGTTTCAAATAACGTTTTCACGACTCACTGGTTTTCACGAAATCAAGTTTAGAAAAGTTAGGGCGTGATATTCAGATTGCACGAGGTTGGTTAGGTTAGGTTAGGTTAGGTTAGGTTAGGTTAGGTTAGGTTAGGTTAGATTAGGTTAGGTTAGGTTAGGTTAAGTTAGGTTAGGTTAGGTTAGGTTAGGTTAGGTTAGGTTAGGTTAGGTTAGGAGTGTCCCGGACGTGCTGGAATATTGGCCAGTGCAGAATTGTGACCGCCAGTCCGGGGGGGGTCTTTAACCTGCATCACGCAGTAGTGATTGCACGGACACACTGTTTTACGAGACTCATCCGGTTCAAAACGGCCAGGGGCGAGCAGGAGGTTGAGGCTCAGAAAAACCTTGAAGCGACCTGACAAACTAGCTCGCCACCCCTTGCACGCTGGTAGTAATCCGATCCGGTGAAGTTTATAATTGTCCTGGAGGTTTATTTTCTGGGACGGAGGAATCGCCCCGCAAAAAGCACAAAAGCCGACACAACTCGAGATCGTGGAGCGTTCTACCATACAAGTGGCGTCGGAAGAGGAAAAACGGGGGGAAAGAGGGTAGCGGGGGGGGGGGGGCTTCAGTTTCCTTTTCCCCCTTGCAGGTATTTCGAACTGTTAAAGAAAACAATACGGGGAAAGAGGGCGTGGTCGAGCTTATTTTAATCTGAAATTATTTATGCATATGTATAGCTACTGTCATTCTTCACTGCATAAAAGGTTGCGTAGATGGTCATTGTTAGAAACTCGTTGTCAGAAGGCGCTGCTCGTCACATGCTTAGTGGTTCGAAAGTTCAAAGCTGTCTTTTCGACCTAAACACCTGTGCCGATAGTAACAAAAAAAAAAAAAAAAAAAGAATAAATGCGGAAATAAAAAGCAGGAGAAAAAAAAAAAAAAACTATCAAGAATTCGTCGGAAGTGTTTTATTCTTGCATTTTCAGAGGTTCAGAACTTCGAAACAAGTTTCTTTTACCAAAATGTGTACAGGCTAAAAGAAACACGTCCCAGGAACGTGAAGCGAAAAAAAAAAAAGTTTTCCTTTAATGACGTGCTGAACTTGAACACTATTAGAAATCTTCTCCCATGAGTTAATTTATTCCTTAACGTGAAAAAACAATAAATATATTATTTCGTATTCTGCAGATGGCAATGATATGTACTGTCTGTGGTGTTAATTTAAATGCGATACCTCAAACAACTTAGACGAAAATAAATATCAAGTTTAGGTTATAATTGCATGCAGATAGATGTTTTGACATTTCTTCGAAACTCACGTTGAATAACAATAATCACATCTTAAGACAGCACTTACCTAGGCTATACATAGATCATTCTTAAAAAAAGTATAACATATCTACCATAAATAGCTCCGGCTGCAGCGTGCTTCAAATCTGGCACAAACGATAATCGTCAAAAACCCGTCGTCCTTCCTCGCCCCTTCGGGGATTTATTTCTTTAAACCTAAGCATGCCAGAACATAGAAATAAACGACATTGTCTTTCGTAAGGAACGCAGCACCGCGTGTAAAAGTTCGAGAAAAAAAAATTACGAATGTACCCCACTACTTGGAATCAAATGAAACCGTCCGCCGGTCTTTCGAAGTTCGACGAACGTCGAACTTTTACCCTAAAAGTTCGAAGTTCGTCGAACTTCTGACTTTTCAGAATCCGAAAGTGCGAAACTTTTTGAACTCTCTTGATAAGTAAGTTCGAAAGTTCGAAATTCATCGAATTTTTTGGTCAATCAAGTTCGAAAGTTCGACAAACATCGAACCTTGCAGCGCAATAAATTCGAAAGTTCGAA